TCTGCAGAAGAGCATCTCTGAACACACAACACGTTCAACCCTAAGGCAGATGGGCTACAGCAGCAAAAGATAAGAACAGAAAACTGAGATTACAATTCACACAGGCTCACCAAAACTGGACAATAGAAGATTGGAGAAACGTTGCCTGCTCTGAGTCGCGACATTTGGATGGTCGGGTCAGAAATTAGTGTCAACAACATGAAAGCATGGATCCATCCTGCCTTGTATCAGCGGTTCAGGCTGGTGGTGGTGTAATGGTGTAGGGGATATTTTCTTGGCACACTTTGGGCCCATAGGTAGGCTGTGGCGTTGACATAAGGCTCAATTTGTATTGTTAGTATTGTTGCTGACCATGTCCATCCCTTTATGACCACAGTGTACCCATCTGCTGATGGCTGCTTCCAGCAGGATAACACATGTCATAAAGCCCGAACCATCTCAGACAGGTTTCTTGAAGATGGCAATGAGTTCACTGTACTCAAATGCCTTCAACAGTCACCAGAGCTCAATCCAATAGAGCACTTTTGGGATGTGGTGGAACGGGAGATTGGCATCATGGATGTGCAACAACTGTGTGATGCTATCTTGTCAATTTGGAAACAAAATCTCTGGGGAATATTTCCAGTACCTTGTTGAATCCATGCCATGAAGGATTAATGCAGTTCTGAAGGCAAAAAGGGGGTCCAACCCGATACTAGTAAGGTGTACTTAATAAAGTAGCCAGTGAGTGTATATTACTAATGTTGTCATGAATATAGCCAATGCTACTAATATGGCATTAAAACATGCATTCATACATACATATGATTTAAAGGAGTAGTTCTGTTGTTGTCATTGACTTGCTCTCTACTTTTTCCAAACCCAAGTTTTTTCTTCTGTTGAACACAATGGATGATTTGGGGGAAAAACAGCCATCGACTTCCATAGTATGTTTGCTCCTGCTATAGATGTCAGTGGCAGCATTTTCCCAGCATTCTTCAGGATATCTTGAAAGAACCTCATAAAAGTTTTTAAAAACACTTTAGTATGAGTAAATAATGAGAATTGATTTAGTTGTTTTAGGGCGAACTGTCTCTTTAAGTTTTATTTAAAGCCCTGAACAAGTACATGGTTGCATTTGATCGCATTGGCTTGTACTTGAAGGTGAACTTTCTATCTCTGTGTGTGTCAGGTGAAGTGGAGAAGCTGCAGGCCGATTGCTCTGGTCTGCAGAATGAATGTGACAGTCTCCGGGCTGAGAAAAGCACGCTGATGCAGAAACTAAACAGACTAGAGGAAGAGCTCGACAGGTGAGTCACACACACACAAACAATTGACTGCCGTTTACCTCATTTCACACACAGCTAACGTGAGTCACCGGGTTTTAAAATGTGTTTTGTGTCTGATTCCACACCTGCTCTCTTAAACGGAGAATGCTTGAATCACTCACCATATTGTGCAACAGCTGCAGCACTTTGTATTTACAAAAGACTTTTTAAATAACTGTTGACGGTTCCTATTGTAGTGTCAAAGTGCTTTTGTGCTGTGCTTAAATTCTGCTTTAGGCAGTGTGTGTACGTCTCTGTGCTCACGCTATTGTTTAAAAGTCACCGTTATGAGCTCATCTGTCCTAAAACTTCATGTCCTCTTGTTTACTTTATTATTGGGAAAGTTTATAATGGTTTACAACTATTATAAATAATCTTGTTTTTCGATTTGTGATAAGATTGTTTTGCTTACCCCATTGGGAGATTATTTTGCTTGATTTAAGAAAAAAAACTCACTTCATTTTGGCATATTTCATTTTTTTAAGCATCATTGCTTAAAACAAGACTGTATGTTTTGCTTGTCAAGAAAATGCTTCTTGATTTAAGAACTTTTAGATATTTGGACTAGAAACAAGACAAAATCTAAATAAGAAAAACATTTTTTGCAGTGAATCAAACACTGCTGATCCAAATAATCAAGGTGTTCACAAGAGTCATGAACAGCGTCATTATTTGGATCAGCTGTGTTTGATCAGGGTTTGTGCGAAGCTGTGCAGATCTGCGGCCTTTCAGGAATTGACTTTGAGACCTCTGCTTTACATGATCTTCCATTAATACAAAAACTATATACAGAAATAACTGACCATTAGAAAAAAAATTATTAGCGATTAGCCCTGTGTAAGTCTAAAATTTCACTCATATTGGTCTTGAAAGGGTCTTAAAAAGTCTTAAATTTGACTTGAAGAAACCTGCAGAAACCCTGCATAGCTTTAAGAGTTCCTTTTTCTTTTAGGAGAAAAACGTTAGAAACCTGTAACCGTTGACTTCTATGGTAGGAAATACAAATACTAAGCAAATATTTGGTTACCGGTTTCCATCATTTTTCAAATCATCATCTTTTGTGTTCAACAGAAAGGTTTTGAACAAGTGAAGATTGACTAAATGCTGATTATTATAAGTTTTTAGGGCTTTTAGATGTTTTAAAAATACATTCCCAGATCTCTCAAGGTTTTTTTCTTCACACTCCTATCGTTGAAGTTTTTTCCCCTCTCCGCTGTCGCCACTGGCTAGCATAGTTCAGGATCGGTAGAGCTACGCATCGTTGAATTTGCTCTTCAGTGTTTGGACTCTCAGTAATGATTTAAACCAGTGTTTCTCAACTGGTGGGTGGGTCGCGGGAACATTTTCAGTGGGTCGAGGAGTGTGTGGTCACAAAAACCAACAAAAATTAATTTTTTACTTTTTTGGCTTATACCAGACTTTTATTTTAAAATTTTTGTGCGACAACCATGACGTTTGACATCTAAAATTTTATTTAATTACAGCAACAAATATGTGGTAGCGCAAGTACGACCCCAAACATGTAAAGTATGGATTTACATATATTGACGACAAAAAAGGCTTGAAGCCTCAGTGTCGTATGTAGTAAGGTGCTCTCACAAGAGAGCATGAAACCTTCTAAATTAAAACAACATTTAGTAACCAGAAAACTTGTTTTATTAAAGGGCCATGAAACCCCCTCGTTTCAGCAGGGTGTTTTCACACCTCTGCTTTGGAAAAAGTCAGAAAAGTGGGCGTGTCCAGCTTTGTTTAGGGGGGAGTGTCGGAGGAAGAAAAGTGGGATTGTGTGGGAGTGTCTATTTGGGCACGCGTGAGTTTCAGAGTCAAAATACACACACACACACACACACACACACACACACACACACACACACATACAGGAGAAAGTGATGGTGTTGAACCTACATGGACATCTGTAGTCGAATTATATGCCAAATTATTAAATGGTGGACTTTAACTGCAGTTTGGCTCTTTGATTCAGGGAATTGATTCATGCCCCTCGCGACAAACGAGATATTTGATTGGAGGAACTGCTCTAAGCGTGTATTTTTCATGCAATGTTTGATACCGCACGGCGAATGAGAGAAAAAAATCCTCCGTATTTCCCAGAAACTTAGATGCACACGACAGGTAGTGTCTGAAAGCCGCGCGTGTTATTCCGGTCACTAAATGCGGTAAAAACCCTACACGAGGTTAAAGTTTGGTTGTGGTGCTAACGTGTTTACACTCTGTGCAATAGTTTGTTAGATACGAACAAACTGAATAAACAAAGAGCACTGCTCGCTCACTTACCAAATCTGTAGAAACAGGACAATCACCAGCAACTAGAGCCGCGTCTTTATGAAGAGGAGACTACAAGCGAATCCAGATCTCACCGTTTGCAGATGAGAACAGCTCTCAGGTAAACAATAATCCTCCTTAGACACGTAAGTTATTGTTGTCGCGCGCGTCGCGTACACTGTTAATCCACACGTGACTCTGAGCTCTCACAGAGAGAAAATGAAAACGAAACTTAACTGCAGCAAACTCTAAAAGCAACACTTCACGCTTGTTTTGCCAACACAACGTGGCGTCTCTGTCGTCTAAACACTGTGATAGTAATGAATATTAATGAAGTTGCACAATAGAGCGCGCTGATTGGTTTGAACCAAGCCTTACTCATGCATTAATGCAACACACTGTAAGACTTAATAAGACTCACTCTGGCACAGACGTTCAGTCTGCACGCTGGAATACACGCTATTATGTCATGACCGTGACGCAGCTTCAAAAATTCGTTTCAAACCGGAAGTACGAATTTGCTTGAAATAACGCAAAAACAACTGATTTACACTTTTTAGTGAAATATATGTGTCCTAATAGTGTTTTTAGCAGTGTGGGACACATATACGACTGTCAACAGCTCAAAAAATGTGTTTTGGTGTTTCGTGACCCTTTAACAGTTCCGTTTAGTTCATAGTAACTGAACATTTCCTAATCACAGTTTACAGTATTTGTAGTTTTTTCTCTGTAATATTTTTATAATTTGATCCATGTTGTTAAATAACAGCAGTAAAATAGTGTTTATTTGTAAGTCTCTGTGAATGTCTTATGATTTATCTGTCACTACTTGTGTATGTTAACAAATAAATACAAATTGATTATAATTCCTTAACTTATATTATAGTTTTTGGGTCGCGGCTTGATGACCATGTAAAAATGTGGATCCCGTGGCCAAACCAGTAGAGAACTCCTGATAAAAAACCACACTGAACTGAGCTAAACTGAACTGAACTTAAACACTAATAACTGAACTACCCATGATCCAGTTACTATGACCATTTATGTGAAGCTGCTTTGACACAATCTACATTGTAAAAGCGCTATACAAATAAAGCTGAATTGAATTGAATCTCTTTTCTTTTCTCTGTATCGTAGCTCCAGAGAGCGCAGTGCGACGTTGAGCAGCAATCTGAACGCTCTGGAGAAATCCCAGGGTGATCTAGAGAATAAACTGGGCTCAATACAAGACCAGCACCAACAGGATGCCAGCAAACTGAAGATCCAGCTGGCCCAAGCCGAGAGCCGTACCAGAGACCTGCAGAAGGAGGTACGATCTGGTCCAACAGGACCTAAGCTGCAAAAACAGCAACAATAATAAATGCCTCAATATACTCCATGCAGAGTTTCTGTTTGCTCTTTTGAGTGGTAAAATTAGGTATACTTCTGAACAGCAATATACAATATTGTTTAGTGTTAACTAGATGAGCGTCTTAATAGATTGTAGGCTTATTTTAGGTGAATTGATCTCTTTCTCTCTAGTACGACGATACTCAGAGTCTCCTGTCTGATCTACGGCAGCGCTATGAACAGACGGAGCAGGAGAAACGCTCAATCAACGATGAGCTGGAACAGTGCAAAGTCAACCTCAAACTCCTGCAGGACAAGGGCAGCAATGTGAGTCCCACAACATTCGCAAATCCTAAAACACACACTGCATTTCAGGCAGAATTGAGATCCAGCTCGTTTAATTAGCTGTCGGCTACATTACAGCATTTAAAGCAGATGTCAGCAGCCAGCGATAGATCTAACTTCAGATTCGCACAGCTCTGGAAAACAGAACACATATACAGCACAGTTTTGTGGGTTGTTAGCAAATATTTTGTTGCTAGCTTCAACATTTTTAGATTCAACACGCTAGAGAGACATAGAGAAGAGGGATCGTATGTGCATTCAAGTGTTTTTAAAGATATCTGCATATGTGAAGTCTCAATAGGCTTGGAGAGGTTTTGATGTTGGTTTGTTTTGTCTGCTTTTATTAAGTATACAGTTCTCAGCATAAATGAGTACACCCTTCATAGGATTCTTTACAGTAATGTATTTGTGCAAATACAGTAGATTAGTCAGTACCGAAGCCAAAATGGAACAAATGTATTAAATGAATACAATTTTAATAAACAGGAATAATCTGGAGAAACAAAACAAAAAAATGACTTTAAATAAATATTTTATCTTTTTATTCCTAAAGATTTTCAGTGACCAAACTTAGTGTGAACAGATTGTCCATATTTTTCTGGAGATAATTGTTTATTAAAACGGTTTTGTTTAAATGCACCGGAAATACTTGGTTATATTCAATAAGAAATGAATACTAATACTTATTTTCATAAGGTGGTGTTCTCATTTATGCTAAGCACTGTATATGGGTCAGAGACAAGTTTTGGTGTCTGTATCAAATTTAATCTATAATAGTGATTTTAGATAAATAGAGAGCATATGAAACTCAAACAATGTGCCGTTGTTTTAAATTGCATAAAAAAATAATAATAAAAAATCTGTGAAATAATGTTTAAAATGTTTTCTATTTATAATGTTATATTTACAGTTGAAGTCAGAATTCTTCTTATTATTATTATTATGACCAAAAGAGCAAGGACATTTTCACAGTATGTCTGATAATATTTTTTCTTATGTAGAAATTCTTATTTGTTTTATTTCAGCTAGAATAAAAGCAGCTTTTAATAATAAATAAATAAAATTAGGGTCAATTATTCACACTTTAAGCTTTTATTTCTCGATAGTCTACAGATCAAACCACTCTTATTCAATAACTTGCCCAATTACACACTGTGGTCTCATTCAAAACATCTGATTTAATACCACTTATGAAAGTGGTTCAAATTAGAATTGACAACATTTAGATTCCATGCGGTTTGGGCTGTTCACACTGTCTGGACAGATTCAGATCACCAGTCACGTGGGCAAAAGAAATCAGATTTGGGCCACATTTGCCTGCAGTGTGAACGTAGCCGAAGTCATCAAGTAATGCCTGATAGTATTTTTGGTTTATAAGCTGTCACTCTGTATGACATGGCAATGGGCTGCTTCTGTAAATAATAGTAAAATCTACAATTTGTTTTAACTACAAAATACATGAATAAAAATATTAGGGCACATTGTAATATAAAGAAAAAAACAATTAAGCTCACTGCATGAAAATCAATTTTTGTCTCTGACCCATATATTAACCATTCTCAGACTTTTCAGTTTCAGGTTCGTTTTCATCACTAAGACCTAACGGGACTATTTTCTAGTTTCTTTTGGCACTTTTATTACAGTTAATTACAGATTTTTGGCCATTTATGCATTTCATTTTTTTGGTTTGCGTATGGTTCAGTTTCCTACACACCACAATAGTGTCCACCTTAACATCCCACAGTTCCTTCAGTACAATCCCCTGCCCACTGCTGATTGAGTCACACTTTCTGTATTGTTGATTTTGTAAGTTTAACACTTATTGTTAGGGATGCACTGATTTTTCAATCACTGAAAATTATCTGCTGAAATAGAAAGAGAAGAGAAATGCCAGACATAACAGCATGGCTCGTTCATGCTTTCGCGGGTTTGAAGCAAATGCACAAACTGTGAATTGCATAAAAAACTATTTAGTTAAATTTAAAATACATCTTTTCAACAGTTTCCTAGTTGAAAAGATCCCCTTAGCACGTCTGTGTTATTCGACCGTTTGAAACTTTATAAATAGCTCAAAGGACTAAAGACTCGATCTCTTTCTTGATTTTTGTGTATTTAAACAGATTTGAATGCAGCGAATCGAGGATTAATAAACATTTGCAAATCACCATCATTTATAGTTTGTTGCGTGGGTGTTGAGATCCCGATCTATTTTTGAATAATCATGCAGTTTACACTGAATGCATTAATGAAGGCTAAACAAGTAGTGACAAAAAACACCTTTAATAATCTTAGAAACCCACCACATCCCGAATAACCCACCACAACTTTTTCCATCATCATTATATTTTACAGGAAAGCCTAAATGCTTTAATACACGCATACCTATCAACCCTCCTGTTTTTCCCGGGATTCTCTTGTATTTTACAGTTCTATCCTGCTATCATCCTGTAAAGGTATTTTCCTGTTTTTCTACTGTATTTTTTAACCTTTCTATTAAGGGCAGCAATAAAGAGCCAATCCTCCATATATGCAACTTATACCTCCAAACCACCAGGGGGCGCCCCTTGCTCTTTAATGCGAGTCTGTTCTGTGCTTTTGTTGTATTTAGGCATGAAAACACTTTAAAAAAAAAAAAAAAAAAACGGCAGGATTTCCTCCCTTTCCATTACATGCGCCGTTGCCCCTCCTATGCAATCCTCAAAAAAGTCATCTAGCAGTGCGTGACTGTCAGCTGACGCAGTCGATAGTGATTAATAGACACTGTTTCCCAAATGGATTGTGACGCGATTTGAAGCTGCACAAAAGTCTGGGTTTTTGATGCATGTTCAAACGATTTGAACAGACATATACACATAATTATTAATAATAATATTAATATCTAAAGATGTCGATCTGGATGGGTTTTCTTTCAAACACAACTCATTTAGTCTTTAATGAGCATAAAAAGTTAGAAAAGCAATCAAATGTTTTTATTGTTAGATGTGTGCATTTTTAAAGTGACACCTCTGTTATTTATTGTAATCAAACGAAAAATCAAAATGAGAGATTGATTTGTTGCTCTTTAATCGGTATGTTTAAGTTATACAGAAAAAATAAAGAAAAAATATATGACATTTGATAATAATAAAACAACAATAATAATAATAATAATAATACACTTTATTTAAAGGCGCCTTTCTGGCAACTTAAGGACACCGTACAATAAAACAAGAGCAATAAAACAACAAGAAAAACTATATAAAAATATACACAACAATAGTGCAGATACAATTATGTATTAAAACTTAAGCCATCTTTAATAGGTGGGTTTTGAGTTTTGATTTGAGTAATGTGAGGGAGTCGATGTTTCTGATGGCAGGTGGTGGTGAGTTCCAAAGCCGGGCAGCAGAGCGACTGAATGCTCTATTGGCCATGGAGGATAACTAGATTCTAATTCTTTATAACTGCTATTCATTTGAATTGGCTAAACTTGTCGCCAATTTTCTAATGTATACTATTTATTCTATTGTTTGTTAATAATCATAATAATAAGCATAAAACATATTACTGGCTGTTTAACTGTTAATTTACAATGAAACTGTTCCAGATGAACATATTTAGTTATTTTAATATAATATTTAATCTAATATTAATTTGGGGATTTTTGTGAGGGTGAGAGGGGCATATCCCTTATGTTCACATCCCAATGTTGACAGGTATGTACATGTGATTTGAATGATGGTTAATGATAAATCTACAAGTTAAAAAAAAGTTTTAATCCGCAGGTTTCATTTGTTCCAAACTGTGGCTTGTGATCCGTACGGATCAGCTGTAGTTCGTTACACCCCTATTATTTAATAAAATAATTATTACAAAGCTTCTCTTATTTTTTGGAATCAGCTTTTAGCCAAGTGCATTCAGACTTTTCCTTTTCGCTGCAGAATTTAAATGTCAGTGCATCCCTACATATTTGAACTATTTTCTAAAGTCGATGAAAATAACCCCTTCATTTGCTGTGATTTATCAATGCACACTGTCCTCGTTTCTGCTTCTAGATGTGTTCGTGGTTTTCTGGGGCTTTTTATATTATCGTTTGTGTGGATTTTGTTGTCAATCCTCCCCACTGCACTCTTTTTATTTATGTTTGTATGTTTGATGTAGTTGTACGACTCCCCCAGCTTGATTTTCATTCAATAGTTTGAAGATTGATTTTTTGTTTTATTTGTAATATCCCTTCCCTCCTCTAGCCATCCATATTGCAGCCTGTCCAAGCCATTTTCATCGGTCTATTCCTGGCTTTGCTGTATTGGTGCTTCGGCCAGTTGTGGTAGAAAGGTACACACGCTCCTGTTGAGTCAGTGTTTTGTGTTCTCTGTATATATCATCATGTATATACGACTTGTGCATGGCAAACTCTCATCCGTCATCTCTGCATCTGCTTAGCCACAAAATCCCTTTTTTTGGTGCTTAGCGTCACTTCGGTCGGGGTCACCGTCTACTAACCCAAGTCATATTAACTCTCCATCCTGCTTGGATCACTGTAATGGTCACATAAATCTCTGCATTGGGGATTTTGGATGCTTTCTTTTTTCTTCTGTTTTCTTTCGGGGCATTTTGATCATCATATCATCTTTCTTTTGCTTTTCTTCTTTACTTTTAATGAGTTTAAAGGCATATTTCACCCAGAAATGAACATTCTGTCATCATGTACTCTGCTTCGTATTGTTTCAAACCTGTATGATTTCCTGTTATTTAAAGAA